ATATATATATATATATATATATATATATATATATATCTATATATATCGATAAATTGGGCAGTTTTACACTGATGATGATAAATGCACAATAAATGCTCTGGCCCCCTCTGTCTAAAAATAATGGCACATGCATTTATTTATTGACCACATGGCCTTACATATTACTTTCAATGAAATATAAAAGTCTTGTAACGATTCAAGCTGGAACATTCAACAATATCTCAATCAACAGGAGAAAAATGTTTTCCTCTCTTGTAAATATTTATGTTTACAAGGCAGGCAGCGCCAACGTTAGCCCGTCTGCAGCCGTGGTTCGCTGCTGGCTGGCTAACGTCAGCCGTGGTCGCGCAAGCGGGCTAACGTCAGCCCTGGCCGCTGCAGACGGGCTAACGTCAGCCCTGGCCCCTGCAGAAGGGCTAACGTCAGCCCTGGCCCGCTGCAGACGTGCTAACGTCAGCCCTGGCCCGCTGCAGACGGGCTAACGTCAGCCCTGGCCCGCTGCAGACGGGCTAACGTCAGCCCTGGCCCGCTGCAGACGGGCTAACGTCAGCCCTGGCCCGCTGCAGACGGCCAGTGCTGACCTAACTGTCACACACAATCCTCAGTCACACAGTTAAAGCTGTTATATAACAATTACACATTAGGTGAATTCATATTATAAGTTAACGGACATTCGAGGAACTGCAGAAAGATATATCCATTAGATGTACACACCAACCACTTGCCAGGTGCAATCTGTGCCCAATCCACCATTGCTTCAACTGGTGGAGCTCAGCAGCTTTCACGATGTTGGCTGCGCTGTCAGTGATGATGGCGATGAGTTTTTCTTCTTTGAGGGCATCGGAGAGCATCAGGCCCTGAACAAACATCTCTTCTGTGTGGTCATCAGGTAAATATGCTTTTTCGAGCACTCTGGTGTGCAGTTACCACTTGTGGTCTATATAATAAACAGTGAAGCTCATATAGGGGTCCGTGGTGCCACTTGACCACAGGTTGGAGGTTGCTGCAAAGTGTTTGATGCATCCAAGCTCACCAGTAACCTTCTCTCTCTCTGTGCTATACATATCAGGGTGACAGTTTGTGAAAAATATTTTTGTGATGGTATGGGGTACTTTTTGTGAGCCACTTTCATGAGGCAAAAAAATCCCAGGCACTCTACTGTAGCTACTGGAACCACCATATCCTTCGCTATGTGGCAGGCCATCACATTGGTTATCTCTATCCACCAGTTTCTGTCGAGAAGTTACACCTCTCAGACCTTGCTTCTTACTCCGAGCCTTTTGCACATCTTCAATATCGGCAGTGTGCTTGTGGTGCAGGTGGTGGAAGAGGTTGGATGGGTACTCTGAGTACTCCTGACAGTTTTCTGACATGATTACACACATGCTGCCTTGTCTTAAAGGGGAATGGAAATACCGGCTACCCTCGCGCACTGGAAAAAAGACGAATTGGAAAAATGAATTACTTTTATTTCTTTTACCGACATGGGAAAATTGTCTACAGTTATTGTGGTGAATGACGTAACGGTGGCTCGGTTGGCCCAGCTTTGCCCTCACGAGGACTCAGACCTCCTGCCCTCTGGGCAGGTAGCCCAACTCAAGGGTTCTAGGTGCTGCCATGGTAAGACCACGGCCTCTGCACCCCCTTCTAAGAGGAAGCAGACCAAGCCTGACCTAGCCTCAAGAGTTGAGGGATTATCTACTGAATTGGGAGAGATGAAGGCTTTGTAAGCATGCCAGTCTGATGCTTCACAGCCAGCAGCTTGGCTCTCCTCTCCTTGCATGCTTGGCTTGTCCACTGAGGAGGATGTTGTCTCTTGCTGCATCTGCAACTGTTCACAGATTTCTGTCCACCGATGGTCGAGTGCTGGCTGCCATGCATGAGTCAGCCAAGGCTGGCCTGGATTGTATGTCAGCAGTTGAACCTACTGTTGCCTCATTAATCGTTAAACCGGATGAGGCACTTCACTCTTTTTTGATGCCCACGAACTCGATGTCAGGTCATAGATGACGTCCTCAGTAAGGCATACAATGCAGGAGCACGTGCTGGCCACCTTGGCACACCTCTTGTTTTCCCTCTCTGCATCACTTCAGGATGGTGTTGCTGCAACTGCAGCAGATGGATTGGGTGACGCATCATTGCAGGCCTTTGTGCTGATGACCAGAGAGCTTGGCCGTGTCATGTTTTATGTCATCCAAGCTTGTGGCAGGTCTGGTTGGCACAGTCTCCCCTGACAGAGGCATGGGGCGGTGTCCAAGTTGTTCCAGAGGAGTTGTTTGGATCAGCTGCTCTGGAGGCACATGCATGGACCGTTCAGGCTCATCAGACCAATCAGCAGCTTTCCAGCTAGGCAGCTCCGGAGCTTCCCAAGAGCTCCAAAGGGCTGTTGGGATCGAAATGATGCCACCAGGCAAGCCGTCTGACATTTTTCCCATCAGCAGCTCATGTATTTGGCTGCTCATAGTGTGGATCCATGGGTGATTCTACAGTTTCGATGGCGACCCCCTTTTCACGCCGTTTAACGTTGGTTTTTCTTTCTGAACATAGATTGCTTCCTTCACATCCTTCTAAACAACTTGTCTTCTTTGTCCAAAATGTGAACATTCTGGTCCTCAAAAGAATGTCCTTTGTCCATAAGGTGTAGATGTACTGCAGCGTCTTGTCCCTCATGTCTCTAATGGGATCCAGGTGGTTCTGGTGTTACCTTGTGGCCCAACACTTTGTGTGTGTTCAAGGTGTTGCCCCATTGACATTGTAACCAGCCGTTGAGGTTGGCCCAGTGTCAAACACAGTCTGGTACGACTGTATGGATGCTGGAGACATATATCACTGACACTACAACTCTAAGAGGCTCAGACCACCTTTCTGTGTGCTATGTAGATTCCAAGCGTGGCTGTCCCCTTTCTAAACAACTTCTCTCGAGGTCTCCCACTGAGTCATGAGGAACCAAGCAGGAACTGACATCATCAGAGCAGAGCTCTCTAAACCTGAAATCCCACATCCTCCGTCACCAGCGCTCCTTGGTCTTATTTTCATTTTGAGGATGTTGGGGGGAAAATGGCAGACAGTTCCCATCCCTGCATCAGAGCGCTACCTTTTGGATCTATGAACGGTTTTCTATGTTTCAACCAAACCAGCAGCAGTAGTGCAGTTTTTTAGATGCAATCCACTTCTTAAATCTATCTTTGCTCTACTCTAATTTATCCAGGAGTTCTGCGATCACACTTTTTCCCTCTCTCCCAGCTTGGTGGTGGGCTGCAGATTTAGCAGTCTTCCCTGGAAATGCCTTTCCTAATGACTCTTTTATTATTTGATAACTTCTCATTAAAAGCAAACATGCAGGCAATCCTTCTTCATTGGTAATGAAAGCAGTTTTCCTTTGAATCCTCTGTTCTCATCAGTTATCTTCCTTTTTTTCCCCTTTGGGATCCGTGGCCTGAGACACACCCACTGCTTTGTCTACATCAGCCCCCTGCCTGACACCGCGCCGCGCTGAAACCTGCTGCAGGATATGACCACTGATATCTGTTAACATTTGTTGTTTACATTTATTTATCATAATGTTAAAAGCATTGAAAACATAATCTCTGTGTGAGTCTGTTTGAGCTCGGCTCCACCCAGTGGGACCATAGCGTGGACAGCATTTGATTCAGCCTTCCTTGAGTGTTTTGGGTCAGTAACGCTTGCGGGGTGTAGAACCTCAGCCTGAAGGAACAACAATGACTGTTAGTTAACCTTCTGTTCTTCTTCTGACTCCTACAGAAAATCCATCAACCTCCCAGAACCAGCACCGGGCGCCTTCCTGTGATCCTGTCAGGAGGTCTGGGTTCCCATCAGACATGCCGACTCCATCTGACACCGATGGAGATCCTGGAAGCTTCCTTGAGGTGGTTGGAGAGGCAGCCCAGGATCTGTCACAGCTCAGTGACCTCACATTGGGCTCAGACCAGCATAACCCAACCAAGACTGTCCCACAAACCCAACCCAATGATCCAGAACCAAGCTACGCCAATGGATCACCGCCATTCCCGCTGTTGACTGATCCTCAGTACGAAGACATATCAGACGCAGAGGAACCATCGAAGCAGTGCCCGGGTGTGGGGGAAGGGGGGAACCAGCTCCGTAGCACAGGGATGGGTTCCAGCAGAACATTAGAGAACGAGCCGGGCCGGGCCCACCCAGAGCCCGGCCCGGATGGAGAAGCATCACTGTGTAATGAAGATTTGGCTGAAGTTCCCATAGAACCGGATCATCCCACATGTGAGGAGATGGCTTTGGAAGAGCAGTATGCCATCCTCTATGAGCCTGGTTCCACTCCCAGCGATGAAGAGGATGAAGATGACTGGGAGGTGATCCCTGTCAGCATGTTGGACCTCAGCTTTGATCCTCTGGACCGACCCGCCTCAGCAGAGGAGCTGGGAGAGGTAGAGCAGAACCTGTGCTTGGTTCCACAGCCAGTACCAGCCTCTGCCTTTTCCCAGATGGCCGTCTTTGACACGCCTGACGATCAGGAGCAAGCGGTCCGATTTGGACAGCTTTCTATGATCATCCCCGCCTGTCAGAGTCCAAAGACATGCTCCGACAAGGAGAGCGGTGACGCTGAGATCATTGACCTTCTGGCCTCTGATGACGAAGATGACAAGCGCTGCGAGTCAGAATGCCAGACGGGTTCTGAACATGTCCAACGTTCTTCACAAAGTACGGACAGCGGCTCCGAATGCATTCTGCTTGAAGAGGAGGACCGTGACCCGAAGGACGAAGGCGTTGTAATTATTGTGTCTGACTCAGAGGATGACGTCGACCACAGAGGGGGGAACCAAGCAGGTTCTGGAGAACCAGGACCGGCTCCTACAGACTCTGCTGAACCTCAGCACGGGTCCCAACCAGAGCACCGTGTGCCTCAGTCTGATGGACCCTCAGGAGAAGACCAACCCACACCCAGACAGTCATCAGAACCAGGCAGACACCCTGAGAAGGTTCTGGTTCCTAAGAAAAAGAAGCAGAAATCGATTTCCCGCGGCGCCAGGCGCTCCTCGGACTCAGCCCTTATTCCTCGCCTTTTTGACAGGAATTCCACCTCTAATGAACTGGTTACACTGGTGGGGGCATCTGAAGAGGCAGGCAGAGACCCGACTGGACCCAGCCAGTCCCCCAGAACCACTACTGTCCCGCCGAAAGAGAAGCATCAGCTGCTCAGGAGGGGATGCACTGCGAGTTCTTCCTCTGTTACCAGTCAGAGCCAGAAGAAACCCGCTAGCCGCATCATGCATGCCTCCCAGAACCAGTACCAGCGTTCCCTGTCCTTTGATGGACCCTCTGCACCATATCAGCCGCTTACCCTGGCTAGGCTTCCGTCAGCTCCAGTGCAGTCTGGCCAAGGCTTGAGCCACGCCAAGAGCAGGATCTTCGATGACTGGAAGAGGCAGCATGTCCCTCTGCGGAAGGAGAGGAGGAACAAGAAGAAGGGACGACCAAATCCCCTCTAGACGCTCCTCTGGTGTCCAGGAGACGCTGTCCCCTCTAGACGCTCCTCTGGTGTCCAGGTGGACGGATTTGGTGCTGGGCCATGGCCTCTGGAACCTCGTACTGCCTTGCATGGCATTGTTTCTGTGGAAGCACTTAAAGGTTCTCTGCGTTCCTCTGAGCGGTGCACCCTTATCACCGTATGATGTGTCTCTGTTTCAGTCTGAGGTCTATGAAACTGTTGCTGTTTGCCTGCTTTCATTTTTTCATGATATTATTCTGATGATTGAACCACTGAACAAATAAAAAGGAGAGGACTCCAGGTCAGTGTCTTTTTGTCCCAATGTTTGAGGTGTAATTATCTGAACTCAGAACTTTAAATATTAGAAATTCCCTCATGGGGGGGCTATCCAGTTAGTACAGCATGGTCCTGATCAGCTGACCATCTACTGCACTGAATCAGCTTCCTGCTCTACCTGTTTGGATGCAGAGGCTTGGAGGAACTGAAGATGAGGTTCTGTGGTGTAGAGCAGAGGTCTTCTACCCTGGTCTTCAGGTTCCACCGTCCAGCATCTTTTAAATGGCCCCCCACCTCCACTCACCTGACTGAAACACGATAAACAGGAGGCCAGTGGAGAGGAAATGTTATTTGATTGAAGAAGTGGAAGCATAGGTGTAACTTTATGAAGGACTG